GTTGGAGAGACGTCTGCTCGAGTCCGTGCCCACGTTGGAGAGACGTCTGCTCGAGTCCGTGCCCACGTTGGAGAGACGTCTGCTCAAGTCTGTGCCCAAGTCTGTCATGGGCTTGTTTCTTGTTGAGTTTTAGGAACCGTGTAAATATTCTGGCATCGATTCCTTATCTGATACCTGACTTGCAAATATTTCCTCCCATTCTCTAGGTGGCCCTTTCATTCTGTTGATATGTCCTCAGTGCGGACACCCTGCTCCTGACCATGCGCTATGATCTCAAACAGCTTAGTGAAGTTTAGGGTCATGTGTGAAATGGGTAACAATATTTGCCTTGCGTGGGTTATCGGGGAAATGAACAAAAGTGGAAATAATAAGTATTATTACTTATTATATATTATATTTATTTTATATTGCTAATTAAATTATATTATGTATTAAATAGTCTATATTTATTCTATATTCTATAGTATCTCTTCCAGAAAGTGTTTGGCTAGTCCGCTTTCTATGACGCTTCTCCTATCCTCCTAGGTCCACAGACACAGCTTTGTCTCTCAGTTGCGTCCTGCTGACACCCAAGAGTAGCAGGGACTTTGTAGTGTTTATGATGCCCTCCCCCCAAGACTAAGCCTTCCTGTTCATCTCCCCAAAAGTCCCGGAGCCGTGGAGGCCACTCAGATCCTGGCCCGACACCACACGCATCACGGGTGCACAGAAGAATTACTGATGTGTTTGCCGAAACGCAGACTCCTGGGCTCAGGAAGGGCACCACGGGCTGTGGGTGCTGTGGCTGGAGGGCCACCCGAGAGTGTGCTCTGAACGCCCACCACCCGTTACTCCTGCCTCGATTCTTGGCCACCCGCCCCCCCATCAGCTCCACTTCTAGAACCCTCCCACCTACCCTAGGGATTCTCTGTCCTGGAGACCTCACACCATTTCTCACCATTCCCAGCTCAGTGAGGAGACTGGTTCCCAGGCCTAACACCCTGGACTCTGATGGGAGTTTCTGAGGCTCTGCCTCCTATGGGGGGGGGGGGTTCCTGGGCCACCTGTATCAGGTCCACCCGCCCCCCAGACCTCCAGCCACCGTCAGGCAGGGGACCCCTCCCCCGTCTTTGCTTCCCCAGGGGCCTGCCGGGCACAGGGGTGCTAACTGCCTTGGTCAGCTGGGTTCTGGAAGCTTAGACTGAAAGATGAGCGAAGGCCCGGCTGGGCAGACTCACAGACAGGCTCCTTGGGGAAGAGAAGCACATGCAGGGGAGGGACAGGCCAGTGGCTTCAGAGACAAGAGCCTCTACTTGTCTGTGTTTCCCTCCCAGGCTCCCGTGGGCCAGGCCAAGCTCACTGCCTTCTGTCTACTGCCGGTAATTAAAAGGAAGGAAGGCATAGCCAGCGTGGGGTGCGCAGGAACATGAACCTCAGCTAGGACCGGTTATCAGCATCCAGAGTCCCGCACCCCCAACCCACACTCCCAGGATGCTCACAAGGCCTGCCCCGCCCCCAGGGCAGCCGGCCAGGGTGTCAGCAGTGCCCAGCGCCGCACAGCCCGGCCCTGTGGGGCTGTCTGCCTGCAAGAGGGACCCGCCCTTGCACGGGAGGTGCACCCTGTCTTCCAGACGGCCGGGCTGGCCCCGCAGGCCAAGCAGGTTTTTGCTGGGTGCTCAGTGACTGAGAGAGGACGCAGATCACCCTGCACGAGGCCCCTCCTTCTGCAGGCAGTTCCCCACCTCTGCCTTCTTCCAAGAGAAACCGGAGGCCGGAAGCGGTGTATCCCTCACGCAGGGCTTAGCCCTCGACCCTCCCTGCCGCACCCTCTCTTCCCCCTGGAGTACCCAGACGGTGCCCCCCTCCATCTCCCACACCCCCGTGTTCACACTGCACACCTTTCCTCCTCAGCCCCTCTCAGAGGGAAGATGCTTGGAAAGACATGAAAAGGAGCAAAACGGCCATGCTTTTAAAAAGCTATTATTTTAATAACTGCTTTACTGAGATATGATTCACATACCATAAACCCACCCATTTAATGTACATGATTCAGTGAGCTGTAGCTGACTGCAAGGGTTATGCGCCCACCACCATGAGCTAATTTTAGATTATCCCCCCCAAAGATATCCCTTAACTACCGAGCAGTGTCTCCCATGCCCGTCCTCTCCCGCCCTCAGCAACCACCAGTCTGCTTTCTCCCCGGATTCACTGATTCTGGACATTTCATGGAATTGGAACCCTACAGTGCATGACCTTTTGTGACTGGTTCCTGTCACTCAGCATACCGTTCCCAACCTTCATCCCTGCTTACCTTCCAGCCTCCTTCTCATGGCTCAGTAACAGCTCATTGGATGATGGACCACATTCTGCTTGTCCGTGTGTCATGTATTGGTGGACATTTGGGCTGTTTCCATTTTTTTTTTTTTTTTCAGATTTTATGCTTAAATCTCTGCACTGAATTGGGGTCTCGAACTCACAACCCTGAGATCAAGAGTCCCATGCTTCACGGCCTGAGCCAGCCAGGCACCCGTTTCCACTTTTAGCTATTGCTAACAGTGCTGCTGTGAACATCTGTGTTATGCGTATGCTGCCATTTCCCTGTGCACATATCCAGAGGCGGAGTTCAAGTTCCACGGTAACTTTAACTCCACACTGGCTGCCATCCATCAGCAACCTGTAAGGGCTGGAACTTTCCACTGCCGCCCACACCCGTCATTGTTTCAATCCTAGCCTAGCAGTAGGTGTGAAGTGGGATCTCACCGTGGTTTTATGTGCATTCTCCTGATGATTAACGACTTTGGGCATCTTTGCACACCGTGTCTCACACACACAGTCAACAACCTGGGTGTTCACCTATTGTTGAGGGAGCGGATAAAAACAGAGTCCTGGGGGGGTGGGTCACCCAGGAAGTGACCCACGAGCCACAATCCAGACAGGCCTGACAGGCACTGGAAGGAGGGAATGGGTCATAAGATCTTCCTTCCAGCCCCTCAATCAAATCAGAACAGGGATGCGAGTGTTGGCAGTGTGCCAGGCCTTGGTCACAGTCTCAGTTTTAAGGCTGACCACAGGAACGGCAGAGACGTAAAGAGATGGCCGTCCCCTGGAGGGGGGTTATGGGCTGGGGGGAGCGCACTCGGACTGTGTGTGGGCAGCGGCTCAGTTACCTTGGACCTCCCCGAGCTCCTTAGAAAGGTGACCAGGAAACATAAAGGCAGAAGGGAGGATGGTGGGTGCCAGGGGTCCCGGAAGGGGACATGGAGGTCACCAGCAGTGGGGACAGAGCTCCATTTTGGGGAGTTGAAGGGGCCCTGCAGGCGGGCGGCGGGGACCATGGCACAACAATACGACCTGGATGTGCTCAGGGCCGCCGCACCAGACACCAGTTGGACCCCCAGCTGGACCCTCAGTCAGACCCGCAGTTGGACTCTCAGTCAGACCCCCAGTCGGACCCCCAGTTGGACTCCCGTCAGACTGCTTAAGATGGTAAGGTTGATACTGTGTGCATTTTACCATAGTAATAAGGCGGCGCTCCCTCTGCCTTCCTCTTTCATCTCTGATGCAATGAAAACAAAGCAAACAGTCCTTGGCAGGGTGAGCAAGGCCTGCCTGGCCCCCGCCCAGGTCAGCAGGCCAGGGTGTCAGCAGTGCCCAGGGGGCACAGCCGGCCGCCTGTGGCTGTCTGCCTGCACGAGGGGACCCGCCCTTGCAGGGGAGGTGTGTCCTGTCTTCCAGAAGGCCCGGCTGGCCCCGCCGGCCTAGCAGGTGCACAGGCCCCTCCCTGCACAAGGCGGCCCCTCCCTCCCCGGGGAAGCTGACCATCCGGCCTGGAGGAGCCCTCACCTCGCCGGGCCTCGTCCGGGGTGCCGCCCCGGTTTTGTTTGCCTGTCCCCGCACAGGCGGCCGCGTCGGTCCTGGAATTCACTTCTGGGGACCCGAGCTGCTGCGCTGCCTCCTACATCGGGGCTCCTCCAGGGCCCCCCAAGCCCCCCCGCCCGCAGCCTGAGCATCTCGGCGACCGGCCCCCCAAGCAGTCCTGCGCCGCCGCGGGGACCTGTCGGGGTGTAGCGCAGCTGACTCCCGGGGGCCGCCGGGCCCACGGGGAACCACCCGGCCCATTGGGTCCACCCGGAACCATCTGACCCACTGGGACCCACCGGGACACTGGGACCCACTGGACATGGACACGCGGGGACCTAAAACCCCCGGCGGGGACGCGCTGGGCGACGCGGTGAGTGGGGTCCCCTCCCTTCGCTCCTCTGCGTCCCTCCGCACCTGCACCGCCTCCGGGACTGAGGGCGGGTCCTGGGTGGGCGTGGCGGAAGGGGACCGGGGCAGGCTACCCCGCACCCTCCCCTGCAAGCCTTCCGCGCCGCACCCCTTCCCGCTCCCTATTCGCGGGAAAGCCCGCGCGGCCACGCCGGCCGACGCGCGTCGGGACGCCAGGCTGACAGGCCGGGGGCTCGTCTTCGCCTCCTTGTCCGCGTGATCCTGACCACGCGAGGAAGAACGAAAGCGAGCCCGTCCGCAGGGAAGGCGCCGCAGCGTCTCCACCTGCAGATGCAGAGTCCAGAGGGTCCCCGCCCGGGCTTTCTCGTCCCCGCGCGGAGGTCACGCGCGCCCCGCACTGCGCACGCAGGTCTGCAAGCCCCGGAGCCCGTAGGACTAGGGCTCGTCTCAGTAAACGCGCCCGCGCCTCTGCCGCCGGTGGACACCGTCCGCAACCCCGGCTCAGGGCGGCCAGAGGGAGGCCGCGGGCAGGTGCTGCGGCCGCTGCTTCCGCGCTTCTCGGGGACTCGCGGGGGTGGGGGGTGCGAGTTGTCACATTCTCCCGCGTCCCCTGCTGCCCATCGGTAGTTGTAACGCCTACATTCGGGTGCATGATCCTGTCGAGCTAGTTTATGTGGGGAGTGGGAGGTGAGGGCAGGCCTGCTTGACCTTGTTACGCGTTGGGCTCTCTCCTTGTCCCAGCGCCATCTGGAAAGGTTTTCCTTACCGTTTGAATGGAAAGTCCTCGGCACCTTGTCAGAAATCTAACTAACTAAGGATGATTCTATTCCATGAGGCTAAAATGTCCTACATCTAGAGTAAATATTCTTTAAAAAAGGAAGGCGATAGATCTAATTTAATTACAGACATCAAGAGGCATATATATATTACATTCAGTTTTGTGGTTCATTTTTTCAGGCAGAAAATCTATTTCAGGAACTTCAAGAACATTTTCAAGCTCTGACTGCAACATTAAACCTCAGAAATATCCTTTTCTATCTTATAACAAATACCGCGATGCTTTTGAACTCTACAATTATCATGGAACATCTTTTTGTCTGCTACTAATGGATAATTGACCTAGCATTGCCTGGTGTTTACATTCGCGCCTCTCCCTGGTATCCTGATGTAGCAATTGCCACTCACAGGTAATTACTTCCTGCCTGACCATCAAAACAGGGCATTTTGTATGACAATGATAAAATACAAGGACACAATGCACAATACTGCCCAGATGGGGCTTTCCACCGAGCCCTAAATAAATATGAATGACATTTGTACTCCACCAATCAGAAACTTGCAAACATAATACGAATGTCAGCTTACTGCTTTGTTAAGACATGAATTCAAACAGAATTAGGATAGAAAGTTTGTTTCCACTTCAAGCAAACCTAGATAATGGTAACTTCTGCCCTAAGACTTGGGGAGCTAGAGACCATTTTATAACATTAAGGTCATTCCTTAGCAATTATATCTAAGGTATTTGCATATGCAACCATTTACTTCAACTTCTGATTCTGTAGATGGGTTCTCATAGGGAAAAAAAATCCTTAAACATGGTAAAATTAAACTGTAGGAAAGTTGGTTTTAAAGAGAATTAGTTTCCATTATATATACATACTCATTAGAGTTTGGTTAAAACATAGTTAAACCTACAAGACCATCTCATGTGTCTGAATCTGTGTCCACACAAAGGGAGCCAAGTTTTCAGAACCGAGCTCACACTTCGAAGGGTAAAGACACACTACGAAACCCTTAGGGAAATGGTTAATTTGCGCTGACCCAGAGGTGATTCCCTCGGTTTAAAAGTTACATCAGTAGCCTTGGGCGTTTTCTTCAGTCACCTCGATGAGCAGGTGTGGTCTGAAGTCTCCTTGACCTTGTACTGGAAGAAATGGGAAACCGCATTGAGGATCTACAGAAGAATGTCAGTGACCTAACAGCGCAAGCCGGGATCGAGAATCCTGTTGAAGAACAAATGCTAAGGTCATCATTAAGAAAGTAAATATGTTTGCCTTTTGCATTAGCTTTTGATTGCTTTCATCTTCAAAAATACGATCCCATATTTGTTCACTGTGGGGATTACTGCCTTTATCCTACACAGAAAACCTTCAGGAATAATAAGACATTTACAAGTGTTCTTTTCTAAATAGACCATCTGGAATGTTCCTCATCATAATTCCTTAAAAAGTGTATTTTTAAATCACAGGCTCTGTTATTTAACAGTTGGCTTTTATTACAGTACTTTTCCCTACTACCCCTCAAATTAGTCTTCAATCAAAGCACAAGTTAGGACGGAGTAGAGGCTGGGGCGTAGAACTAGTAGTTTCTGTAGGGACAATATATTTCTATGACCATTTAAAGAAAATGCATGTGCATTAAGCCCTCAGTTTCATGGTGGTTCCTGAGGGTCCCACGCCGGCCCGCACAATGCAAACATTTCTTGTCCAGTGAAACGTTGCACTTAACCTGCAGATGCAAACCCGTGCTTGACCTCAGGGCTCAGACTAGATTTATGCCCATGTGACGTGGGGACAGACACAGCCTTATTTTATGAAGATACTGACCCATATTTTGTTTCCAAAATATTCTGATTAATTGAGCCAATTTTGACTGAATAGTTAAGGTGCCTTTGTTTTGCCATTTTCTTTAACAATTGTTATCTTCAGTCGGCTGGCAAATGATCTGTACTTGACCTGCTGACTCAGGGCCGGTTCAGCTCCCAGTGACTTAGAAATACCTGTGTCTCCTCTTCTGGGGAAAACGGTAACCTGAGGCCGTGCCCTGCTGCCCAGGCGTGCAAAACACTGCAGGGGGCGCTCTGTGTGCAGGGTGCACTCAGGGCACATCTGGCCCCCAGCCTCCCAGCCAAGCCCTCCTCCCGCTGGGCTGAGTTGGTGGTAAGACAGGCCGTGAGGACACTGCCGCTGCAGGCTGGGGATGGCAGCCCAGGAACCCGGGTCCTTCCCTTCATCACCCAGATCCAGCTGCTGTTTTAAATTTAGTCAAAACCACGAACTATTAGGCATCAAGTTAAATGACTGAGTAGATGTGGAAGCCTCCCTGTCGGAGGCGCCTGCGGCCTGAGAGGTCAGACGCCCAAGTTTGTTTCAAAGGGGTCCTGCTGCTGAGACGAACAGAAAGACCTAAATAGAGATGTTGGATAAATCTGGGTCTGCTGGTTGCTCTAGGTCAAGGTTCACAGAGGGCTTGTGCCGGGGACTTGGGGGGACTCTGCACACCTCTGAAACCCGTGTTGCTGTCCTGGGGAGGGGTGATGGGAGGAGGCAGAGTCGGTGAACCCAAAATGTCAGAGACGTTCTCAGTTTGTCGGTGTCCCCATTGCACGACACTGTGGCCCCTTCCTGCGGTTAATTCCATGCAGAGACACAGTGTACCTCACGGGGTTTCTGTCCGCGCTGCCTGGGAGGGTCGGTCACGGCGGTGGGACACTGATGAGAAGCAGTGTTTTGTTGTTTCAAGAGTACACACTGTTTCTCACCTTCCATCGTGAACCCGCACTGACTCCATCAGTGGAAAAGGAGAAGCATTTAACATGTTCGTTCTTCTATATACTGAATTTTTCTTATCCACAAATCCTTTAATAATTATAGGAAATTAAGGCATTTTTCTTGAAGGCTTTGGCTTCCTGTTTATTTGACTGTACATTGATTGGTATGTAAATCAACCATTACCCCTTTCGATTTTTTTTTCTTACAGACCTGAGGACGGTAGACCAGTCACTTGAAAATGTGATAAAGTCAAAACTGTACTTTGAAAATAATAATTTGCATGAGTTCTGACTTTTACTACTTAATTTAAAAATTCATTCTAATAAAAAGAAAGATTAAAAGAACAAACAATCCAGGAAGAACATAATTCAGAAAATGATTAACAAAGATGGTTGTAAAATTTTTTCAATACATACCTTGTATTTATAAATCATGGAAGAAAAGCATAAGCTACATTAGGTCAATGTTTTTTTCCTGAATTAAGTTCTACATAGATCTTTTTAAAAAGCGTCATAAGGGGGTGCCTGGGTGGCTCAGTGGGTTAAAGCCTCTGCCTTCAGCTCGGGTCATGATCCCAGGGTCCTGGGATGGAGCCCCGCATCGGGCTCTCTGCTCTGCAGGGAGTCTGCTTCCCTCTCCCTCTGCCTGCCTCTCTGCCTACTTGTGATCTCTCTGTCAAACAGATAAATAAAATCTAAAAAAAAAAAAAAAAAGGCGTCATAAGCTGTTTTCTGATTGAAATTGCTTTTTAAATAACTGCATTCCAACACAGCTTTTCCACTCCCACAGTGTTTGGGAAGACTCATTCTAATCTGTCCAGTCCAAACAGACTCGGTCAGCAGTGTTCTCCAGACACAACCCAACCCAAGAGAACAGCTTGTCCGGGAGCTCGGTCAGCCTCGCCCGCCCGGGTCCTGGAGGGTAGTTACCCAGGAGAAGCAGACGTACTTCAGGCACTTCGTAGGTTATAGAGAGACAATCAAGTAATTGTGTGATTTGCCTCTCTAAGCTAAAGTAAAATAGAGCTATGATCATCTAAAAAGGGGCTGGCAGGTGGTAACTATGCAAACAACACCAGCTTCTCAATCATTTTTTGGAAGTAGTTCTTTTCAGGGTCCCTGGGTGGCTCAATCGGTTAAGCATCTGCCTTCAGCTCAGGTCATGGTCCCAGGCTCCCTGCCAAGCAGGGAGCCTGCTTCTCCCTCTCCCTCTACTGCTCCCCGTTTGTGCTGTCAAATAAATTTTAAAAATCTTTTTTTTTAAGATTTTATTTATTTATTTGACAGAGAGAGACAGAGAGAGATCACAAGCAGGCAGAGAGGCAGGCAGAAAGAGAGGGGGGAGCAGGCTCCCCACAGAGTGGAGAGCCCAACGTGGGGCTCGATCCCAGGACCCCGAGACCATGACCTGAGCCGAAGGCAGAGGCCCAACCCACCAAGGCACCCAGGCACCCCTCTAAAAATTCTTCAAAAAAAAAAAATTAAGGGCGCCTGGGTGGCTCAGTGGGTTAAGCCTCTGCCTTCGGCTCAGGTCAGGATCCCAGGGCCTGGGATCGAGCCCCGCATCGGGCTCTCTGCTCGGCAGGCAGCCTGCCTCCCCCTCTCTCTCTGCCGCCTCTCTGCCTACTTGGGATCTCTGTCAAATAAATAAACAAAATCTTTTTAAAAAAATTTAAAAGGGTTGATAATAGGCTCTCATTGTATAAAATAACCTTATACCTGCATATGAAATAAAACTTATTCTTCATATAAAAGTCAAAATTACCCAGAATTCTACAATTTAGAATTAACCACTGTAAGCACTTCTCTGTGCATATACTATTTTATATATGCTTGATCATGTTGTTTATAATTTCATATCCTGTTCTTTTCATATCATAAACATTTTGTGAGAATTTCATACACTTTTCATACCTTTTTTTTTAAATGTCTGACTACTATTCTATCGTATGTAATAATCTGAACTTTCCTATAATACCCCTCGGACACTGAGGCTGCTCCCCACTTTCCCGCTGTTATAAATAATGCCGTGGGGAGCGCTGTTACCATGAATTCTGTGCACATTTCCTTGGGGTCAGAAGTACATTTAGTCAAATGCATCTAAGAAAGGGAGCGTCATGTTATACTCCCAAAAGGGGTGCATGTCTTTCGTTTTATTATTTTATTTTTTTAAAAGATTTTATTTATTTGAGAGAGCATGAGCAGGGGGAGCAGCAGGCAGAGAGAGAAGCAGACTCCCCAATCAGCGGGAAGAACGACGCAGGGCTCAATCCCGGGACCCCGAGACCATGACCTGAGCTGAAGGCAGACACTTCACTGACTGAACCCCCCAGGCATCCCCATGTCTTTCTTTTTTTAACCCAAAGTTTTAAAATGGCATCATTTAGATTCAGTATTCTTGGTGGTTTAAAATCATAGTAGCTCCGTTGGAGTATGTGAACAGTCTCAAAGCATCTCGGCTCCTGTCATGATCTCAGCAGAAATTAAAGTGGATATTTGAAGTAAACCAAACCGATCTGAGTCCTCATTAATAACACAGACCACAATTCAAAATCCAGGATTTTTAAGTACGTAGAAAAGAAAGCTTCTAGGCACCTGGGGGGGCTCAGTCGGTTGAGCATCTGACTCTTGAGTCCAGCGCAGGGTATGATCTCGAGGACACAGGATTGAGCCCCAAGATGGGCTCCGCACTCAGAGGGGGGTCTGCTTGAGATTCTCTCTCTCCCTCTCCCCTAGCCCCTCCCCCTGCTCACACTGTTTCTCAAAATAAATACAGAAAATCTTTTAAAAAGGGGGTGGGAGAAAGCTTCTATTAGTTAATAACTAAAATAAAAACATAAGGGGTGCCTGGCTGGCTCAGCTGGTAGAGTATGCGAGTCTTGATCTCAGAGTCACGAGTTCAAGCCTCACATTGGGTGTGGAGCCTACTTAAGAAATGAAAAAGAAACATTTATGCTCTCCCAAACACTAACTTCTTTCTAAGGAAAGTTCCAAGCTGATCCCCTTTCATAGTCTGACATTTAATATCTCAATTATTTACTCAAACAACAGACACCTGCCTTTAGAGGTTATTTGGCATTTTATAATATCATTCCTGTTTTAACATCTTCCTAACATTTTTTTCAATTTTATTTAATTTTTTAGATTTTTAAATTTATTAACATAGAGTATATTATTTGTTTCAGGGCATGGGTCTGTGAATCATCAGTCTTACACACTTCACAGCACTCACCCTAGCACATACCCTCCCCAGTGTCCATCACCCAGCCACCCCATCCCCCCACCTGCCTCCACTCCAGCAACCCTCAGTTTGTTTCCTGAGATTGAGTCTCTTATGATCTGTCTCCCTCTCTGGTTTCGTCTTGTTCCATTTTCCCCTGTGATCCTCTGCCTTGTTGCTTAAATTCCACGTATCAGGGAGATCATATGACAATTGTCTTTCTCTGATTGACTTATTCGTTCAGCATAATACCCTCTAGTTCCATCCACG